TGGTTAGATAAGTCGTTTCTCCTAAAGGACATATTTGCTAAGGTGGAGATTTGTTGAGTTATCTTTTCTCCTAAGGGACATATTTGCCAAGGTGGAGATAGTCTTTCTCCTAAAGGGCATATATGTGAAGGTGGAGATGATGAGATAAGTTTTTTCTCCTAAAGAGCATATTCGTCAAGATGGGGATTTGTTGAGTTATCTTTTCTCCTAAAGAGCATATTCGCCAAGGTGGAGATTGTTGAGTTTGTCTCATATATGGATTAGGAATATGAGTTTGTCTCATACTAGGAGTAGGAGTGAAACAGGTAGACCCCTTGTACAGGGATTAGATGCCTATAAATATATTGGTTGTATCCCTAAGGGGTTGTGTCACCACTATCACCATAACTATGAATAAGAGTATTGTTTCACTATCGTGGATGTAGGCACTTTGCCGAACCACGTAAATCTTGCCTTCTTTACTTTCAGCCATTATTATTTTTCTTGTTCTTGTTAATCTCAACAAATACCAATTTGTTAATCTCTTGTACTCGGCTGTTCGAATGCATGGACTCTATCAGGAGGGTAGCGGGCATGCATATACTCGCTCCACAAGGAGTCACCTTCTAGCAAATTAAAACAAAGCTTAGCAGAATAAGTTCATTGAATGCCTTCGAGAGAATGAATTCCCAGCCCTCCTTCACTTGTATGGAAGCAGATTTTTCTCCACGAGGTCCAATGCCTTTTTGGCTTACCATCCTGCATGCCCCATAAAAAATTGGCGAGCCTGGATTCGATAACCTTTTCTATCTTCTTGGGCAAAAAAAAGCGAAGAGGCCGTGTACAAAGGAATCGCAGATAGTACATGACGAATGAGTCAAACGGCCTCCCGGGGAAAGCAATTTACGCTGCCAACTGAGCAATTTTCCATCGATCTTCTCCAACAGGTGGTGATGTGGTGATAGTAGAGCGGGCGGTTCCTTGCCTTAAAGAGATTAACTCCGAGATAAGGAAAGGCAGAATCGATTTTTGCATGCCCAGAATCCTCGACACGGTGTTAGCTCTGCCGTTAGTGCACTTACTGGAGGTCACGAAAAAACTCTTGCTATAGTTGATTTTCTCCCCAGACCCCTCTTGATATTGATTTAGAACTTCGACAAGGGCACTTAACGAGGCCGAGGAACCATTCACAAAAATCACAATATCGTCCGCGAAGGCCAAATGGGTGACTTGAGGGCGATCCTTTCCTAATTTGCTTGTTGGTGTAAGTTTTCAGCTTAAGAGATAATGTAAACACCTAATCCCGAGTTGTATTGTGGTAGCTAGATGGAAAATGCCAAAAGTCCCTTTCTACAGGCATTTAATGGCGTATTTATAAGGGTGAAAAGGAACACATGATGGTCTCTCGGCATGTGTGACACGTGGGGCACATGCACACGGACAGGCTGGAGCCTGGAGGTGATACTGATTCCTCCACGTGTTTTGGGATTCCTAAACTCCTCGTTCTTGCGGCCATTATATTGAATCTGGGCCGAAGGAACATCGTTAAGGTCTCAAGTAGTGGGGGTCAAGTGACGCTTCCCGACCTAGGATGGTTGGGGTGAATCTGAGCGGCGGGCAGGTACAGTATGGACCCTACCCTGCTTAGCATGTTTACTTAGGCCAGGTCGGTATGTTCTGAGGTCGGTAATGCTCGGTTATTACTCCCCATGGTGAGACGATCATATACCGAGCTAATATACAAAACGATGAAGGAATAGTACACCCAGGGGATATTCCCTATCAAGTAGCCCCCTCAGCCCATGCCCTGACGTTGACTCGAAAAGGAAGGGTTCGGGCTTTAAAGGTCCAGAAAAGAATTCTTGGAATCTCTTTCGTCGGGTTAAGATCAAGTACGGTGCAAGCACACTGTGTGAAACATGGATCACCGTTCACCCGAGCCACTAGACACTTGTCGATTGATCATCTTCGATCCCGTGATTTGTTTTGAATTTTCAAATTTTCTAACTGCTCACTCTCTATAAATAGTGCACGATAGGGGAACTCATTCGCACGTATATCTCGTAGCAACTTGAGAGCTTCCAGAGCATAATTATTCGCTAAGACGCTCCCAGCACATCTTAGGACCCAATTGCCTCATTTAATTTGAGTAAGTATCTTCATGTCTCTTAATTTACTTTATAAGAATTTCTCTCGCTTAGTTGGCTTCCCAACTCTAAAATGTCTTTGCCCTACTTCAAGGAGAAGACATGACGGATTCGGACAGCTAAAACATCTTCGTTAGGGACTATGACGAAATAATCGAGGTCAGGTCACTCTCCGTTCCGCTTAGTTGAGGAATTCTCCGGTGACCAAGCGGAGACATCGGGAGCTCCTGAGGGCCAAGCTGAGCAATACCCCTCTGCGCTACCACAAGCCGACCTAGAAGCGGGGCCTTCTAGCCGAGATGTCTCCTCCCAGGTTCCTTATGCCCCTACGCTTTTTTCTTCATAGCCTTGTGTTCCTACCATCCGTTATTCTTCAAAGGCCATCACGACCCGCCAAGTCACTTCTTCCGGCAGCCCTTCTCCGCAAATCCGTGCTCCCACCCTTGCGAGTGGGAAGCACAAGTACCTCAGTAACGAGGCTATTAGGCCACATTTCTCTCTCCTCACCCGTGTCGAGCTTGAAGATATTTCTTCTCTCTTAACCTGTCGGGTGGCTTTTGATACTTGGCAAAGCCTGGGTAGCGTTATTGAACGCCACAAGGAGGATTGGATCGGGATTCATCTCGATTCACTTAAAGCGCCTCTCACTTTTCCATTCTCCTACTTTCTCCTTTTATTTCTTGAATTTAATAGGGTCCCCTTCGGTCAAATTTACCCAAATGCGCACCACATTCTGCCTTGCTTTCCTCAAATTTGCACTTGACACAATATTTCTTGCACTGTCTAGCTTTTCAGATTTCTATTTTCCGTTCGGGTGCTTCCACCTAAACTTATAAGGTTTATTGCAATGAAAGACACTTGGACCATGAACCAGTTGGCTCGAGCCTATGTTCAAGTGGTTAAGTATCATGGAGTACTGCGTGATATCGTTTCAGACAGGGATTCAAGGTTCTTATCACATCTTTCAAAGGCGTTGCAGACAGCTATGAGATCAAGGTTGAAGTTGAGTACCACCCTTCAAAACCGATAGGACGATTCAGACCTTGGAAAACATGTTGAGGAGTTGCGTGCTGGACTTTCAAGGATCTTGGGATGAGTACTTAGATTTGATTTTGTTTTCTTACAACAACAGTTATCATGCAAGCATTCGGATGACATCCTATGAAGCTTTGTACGGACAGAAGTGTAGAATCCCTTTATGTTGGGAAGATTTGGTAAATTCAGTAACTTTGGGACCACAATACTTACAAGAGACGACAAAAAGGTTAAGTTAATTCAAGAAAGGATGAAAGCTGCCCAAGATTGACAAAAGTCGTATACCGACCAATGAAGACATCCAGCCCAGTTCCAAGAAGGGGAAAAGGTTAAAACAATAACTTTTGAGATTTAATCATTGTAAGATTTAAATTCTTGGACTAAGATATGCGAATATACTAGCTATTACTGAAAATCTCACCCACAAGAGGAGTGATGAGATTTCGAAAGAAAGGTAAACTAAGCCCCAAATTCGTTGGACCTTATGAGATACTAGAGAAGATTGGGAAGGTAGCTTATCGTCTAGCCTTACCAATCAAGTTAGACCGAGTGCACGGTGTATTTCACGTGTCCCAGTTGAAGAAGTATGTGCACGACGCGTCACACGTGATTCAACCCGAGGAGAGTGAGCATTATGATTGGAATCCTATTCAATTAAGCATAAACACTAATCGAAGCAACGTATAACTTTGTGATCGAGGTTATGACATTTGAAGAAACCTTAACCTATGAAGAAAGGCTGGTGAAAATCTTGAATACCAAGACATGAGAAACGCGCATGAAATGCCTATTTTTTTTTTTGTATATATTGAATCTTATACTATAGCAGTCTATAGCTATATGAATAAAGAGTTTGAGAAATGATTGTGTACATATCTATATTTGAACTAGTATGATACTTTGGGAACTTATATTGGACAGTGTGGAGGTTGGATTGTGACTCTGTTAGATTGATGTGATATTGGTGGGCCCCTGGCTCTTTCTGCTACGGGTCTAGTAGTGTGGGAAGCTCTAGACAGGTCGGTTGTGTGGGAAGCTCCGATCAGCCACTGTAGGCTGATCCGGTAGTGTGGGAAGCTCCGGGTTGCCGTATTACCGTATTGATTATTTGTGGGTAACCTGGTAGAAACATATCCTAGGTTACCAGGGCTAGTAACTACCTATTGGGCTTAGAATCCCAATCAGAGGGTGTGCACACTTAAGGTTCTAGATCTGCTTGCATGTGAGACTTGTGATATTAATTGGTGACATTGGATTGACTATTGAGATCTGGGTATACTACTCTTTTTCCATTTATGACTCTTCGATTTGATGTGGTTACCTCCATATTTATATATTATTAATTTATGATGCTATCTATGTTACTATTGGAAAATGAGACTTGAAACTTATATATGATATTGATTGATGTGATTTGGAAAAGTTATTTGAAAATATTGTGTGACATATTCCTCCTATGTATAACTATATCTAAGAACTCTTTTGGTTAAGGTGTGGATTATGAATTACCATGTTTTGAACTGTTGATGAAATTCCTCTATTAATATTAGCCTTAGACTGAATTGGCGTGAGTAATGCTGTCAATTGTTTTCTAGTAGGTTGAGTCTTGTTTCAAAATGGATAATGGGGGTGAGTTCATTTTACTCAAATTGTCATTTTAGTGCATACAAGTCTTTTGAAAACCTTCCTATAGAGTTTGTTAGCTGGTGCGAGTGGTATTCATGTTCCAAAACCTATTTTGCCTATCAACCGTTTTGAAAGTATATGTGTATGTAATTTTACGTGGTGGAGTTGGGATTTACTTAGCACCCTTCGCTAATGTTTTAACTTTATTTTCAGGTATGAAGTAGAGATGTCGAGAGTGCGCTACTTAGTTCTGTTGGTGTTTCAATTCCTATTCATTTACCATAGAATGAACTTTAAGTAATTTCTGAAGTTAGCTTATGTTTTGAGATTTGATGTAATGAGTTTAGACTTATGTTGGATTTGGTTGTGAACTTTTGGTTAGTTTCCTTAGCGTTTGGGTTTTAGTATTGACCCAAGCCTGGAGTGACACCCCTTAGACTTATCGTTGTTTTAGCTTCCGCACTTAAACTCTTGTGAAAAACTGAATATTATCTCTTTATTTCCCTTTATTTATCAATTTCACGTATTAGAGATCGATTTGGGAGTGTTACACCAGTATTTTGAGCAGATTCACAGTAAATGTTATGACGATAGGGTATGATTGTGGTATTCTTTTTGGTTGTGAGAAAGGCAGAGTGCTTCTACAAGTTGAGGATGAAGGAATATAAAATAGAGCATGCATGCATTTCATCATCCATTCTTGAATCTTGAGAATTCACATTGCCAATTTTTTGAGTTAAATCTTTGATGTTGTTGTGCACTTGTTCTCTATCAAAATGCACTTTTTTTAACGTATTGTAATGATATTGACATCTTGTGAAATGAGAGTAATTCATTCAAGATTTAATAAACCCATATATATTGGAGATTGCCTTTAGTTTTAATTTGGTTTCATCAGATTTTTCTTCCCCAATAGAATACAGATGTCGTTAATTGCATTTTGCTTTAGACAAATGGAATTGATGGATGAGAGGCAATCATTAGCAAATATTTTTCCTTGCCAGTCTTTAATTTGTTGCCTGATTGAAAAAAAAAAACAAAAAATTAAACATATCTTGACAATTGGTATAGCAACTTTTGGCTTAATAATATGCGTCAACTGAAATGAGAAAGAAATCTAATTTGTTGATAAAAATGGGAAGCTTTTGAAAGATGGACAATATTAGAAAAAGAGCATGTGGGACATGCGTTTCTGACCGCATGTCCCACATGCTTTTGATATTATTATTATTTTTCTCCAATATTAATCACATACAAAAGTGAGACTTGCCTTTGATGTATTATACATGAAAAGTAAGTTCCACTTGCCTCTCTTGGCTGAATACATCCTGGTTAGACGTAAGTAGAAAATGTGTTTCTCCTAGAATACTAGAAACGCATTTCCCACTTGCGTCTCTCACCACCGACGACCGGCCAGCAGAGACGCTAGTGGGAATTGCATCTCTGTTTGAAAACAATTGATTTGAGACAAATACTTATATGGATCAGAGCTAGCCTGTTTGATCAGGAACCAGGGTGGAATAATTGATTGATGCGTTAGTTCTTTTTTTATTTGCGCTTTGCAGGTGCGAAAGACGGGAATTTTTCCATGGAAGTGAGTTTTGGCCGTGGTGTTCAAGCCTCTGAAACGCAAGTCCCAAATGTTCTTTTCCTAATATTGTTCATCTTTCAAAAGCTTCCTATTTTTGTTAGCAAATTGGATTTTTTTTTTCCCATTTCAGTCTTTGATTGGTACTCTAACCCACATAAAATGAAGTGTTATCCACATAGCAACTTTTGGCCGTTCGTACATGAGGTATCCCCAGTATTTTGTTATTGAAATATGACGTTTATTATTACACAATGCAAATTTAAAGAAGTAAAGTTGTGCTTGCTAGTTATAAATTTTGATACAGTAATAAACATCTTGACAATTGGTATCATAACAACTTTTGACTTTGTAATAAACGTTTGATCTTGTTAGGTACACTAACCTAGATCAGTGAAGTGTTATCCACATAGGATATTCTTATACCTAGAGTTAAGGTAGAGTGTTTTCATATTTGAAGTATGTATCTCTCGTGAGAACTTAAGGAAACTCTTCAAAAACATTTGGGTAGTATCTGTAATGAAAAACAGTAAAAACATATTTCTTAAAAAAGAAGCACATTTGATGGACGTCTAATCGAAATGTGAAAACATATTTCAAGAGTCTAATTATTAAAAAAAAAAAATCCTATGAGAAAAATTGTTTCTTAAGTATGGATATTACAGAAGCATGAGATGGCGTGGAGAGGGAGTAGGAGGCTGAGTGTTACAAGTTTACAACTCCATATTGGTCAGTAGCATTCAGATGATATATGAAGGACTATAATAGAAAATATAGCATATATATATATATATATATATATATATATATATATATATATATATATATATATATATATATATATATATATATATATATATATATATATATATATATATATATATATATATATATATATATATGTATATGTGTGTGTGTGTGTGTGTGTGTGTGTGTGTGTGTGAGAGAGAGAGAGAGAGAGACGGTCTCACACAAGTGTGACTCATTAATTAATTATTACGAAAATATACTTTTACAATGTATTTGTCACGCCCCACTTCTAGGACATGACCCGACCGTATCATTATGTAAAAACTTGTAACAATACGAATCATAACCATACATCTCAGAACCTTCATAACAACACTTGAATACATAATAATTCAACAACAATATGACAAAAATATTGATAGATATATTAGGAACAGGCTCGGGGCAAACCGACCTGGGAAGACGTGGTACAAGGGGTCAAAGGCCCGAGGTGGTCGCGGTGCGGTATGAGGAGACTTGGGTGACCCCATTTGGGGTCGAGGTAGACCCCGGTTGGGGTCGACTTCAGCGTCGGCCTCGGTTGGGGTCGACCCCGTGGTCGACCCTGGTTGAGGTCGACCTCGGCCAGACGGGGCAACCCAAGAGGACAGTCACATGGGGGGCCGTCTAGGCCTCGGGCGTGCCCACGTGACTCGGTCAAACCTGACCCAACCGCCCACCCTATTCTCATGGGGGCGGTTGGGAGGATTTGCTAGTATAAGAGGACATGCTTTTGCCTTGTTAGGAGATCTACATCTTGTTTCATCATTATGTTCTCCTTGTAATTTTCCTAAGAAATCCTATTAATACGAAAGTTGTCCCTGCGACATATACTCGCTGTCTATTCCTATCTACTACTTATTGGGTTTAACGATTCGGGTTTATCCCGGGTAATTAAATCCATCAGTTTCTTTCGCTAGATAGTAATGAGCGGGGGCGTCCCCCCTATACTATCTTTAGGGAAAGCCAAGGTCGGGGTTGGTGCGCACGACTGCGACCATGGGTTGATAACTCCTCTTCCTGCTAGGCGAGGTTAGACTTCGCCGATTCTACTAGGGAAAACATATGTCGTTGTTCGGGGTCAAGCCCCCCCCCCCCCCCCTACCTTTGAAAAAAATAAATAGTTTTGGGCTTCAGGGGTGGTGTCGCTAGGTGCCCCAGCCCCTTTTCTAGAATAATGATATTGGGGTCGAGGACCACGTTAGTTGGCAGGCCACTCGAGGTATAGGACCTCCTCAATGTGCCCTATTTCGAGGAGGGTGTAGACCTACGCCTTCACGAAGCTCTCGGCGGAGAAGTACCTCTTGCGTTGTTGCACTAACTTGATGGTGGGGTCGACGGCGAGCATGTGGGTGATGACGTCGTTGTTGAGGCCAGACATGTCCTCGGGTCCCCATGCAAACACCTCCTTGTAGGCCTTGATAGTGTCGACGATGCGGGCCTGGTTCCCACCTATCTTGGGCCAACCTCTCCAGGCGGGCCTGGCCTAGGTTAACCTCCCTCTATCGCCATCTCGACGATGATCTTGATGGGTGTCACCCTGCCTGTCCGAGGATTGGGGCGAGTTGGCCTCCCCTTCGGCCTAGGCGCCCGGGTGTGCATGGTGGTCGGGTGCCTGGGCCGCCGCCGCCCTCCCCCCCCCGAAGGGAGGTGGATGTGGGGTCGGCACCCTCCAGGCAGCCTCCGGGCCGACTCGTGTACCTCCTGGGAGACCCTCCGCGAGGCGGGCCAGCATCACGAAAGCTTGTTGAAGGGCAGTCGCCCCCTCCTAGAAGAGAGCGAGATTCGGAGGAAGGTCGGCGGGGTCCCCGACGTGCCATTGCGGTGGTTGGGTGAGCTGACTCCTTTACTGGCGGTCCGTTTGTGGTTGGCCCTGGGCCCAACCTGTCTCGAGCTGACACGCGGGTGCCCAGCCTCTCCAGGGCGGGCCTGGCTTGGGTTGACTTCCCCTTATCGTCATCTCAATGTTGGTCTTGACAAGATCCACCTCCGCCCCGCCTGTCCGAGGGTCAGGGCGAGTTGACCTCCACCTCGACCTGGGTGCCGGGCGCACGAGGTGATCGTGTGCTTGGGCTGCTACGCCCTCTCGAGGAAGGCAGAGGTGGGTCGGCACCCTTCGGGTGGCCTCCGGGCCGACCCACGTACCTCCTTAGAGCCCCTCCGCGAGGCGGGCCAATGTCACTAAAGCATGCTGAAGGGCGGCCTCCCCCTCTTGGAAAAGAGCGAGATTTGGAGGAGGACGGGTGGGCCAACACACCATTGCGGTGGTTGGTGGGGTGATCTCTGAGGTCACCCGCTAACCTCAAAGAAAGCATTCGTTGCTGAATAGTGGTCCCGTTGAGACCACCCCCGGTAGGGGAGGTACGGGTGTTACGTTGAGACTAGAGCCGTCAAAATGGGCTTAGCCCGCCGGGCCGGCCCGCCCCGCCGGCCCGCCCCGCCCCAACTTAGGTAGGGGGCGGGTTTTAAAAATAGAGGACCGTTTAGGAGCGGGCTTTTTTGACCCGCCCCGCTTAGGCCCGCGGCCCGCCGGGCCCGCGGGTTGCCCGCCATATTTTATTTTATTTTATATAAAATATTTTTATATAAAATATGCACTTTAAAATTATTGTTATGTGTAATATTTTTGGACTTTGTAGTTGTGACTAGTTTGATGTTTGATAAACTATGAACTTTGAACTTTATGTAATATTTAATGTGAAGTTATGATTTATGTATCAATTTATTTTAATTAGTTAGATGCTTGATGAATAATTTTTTTTTAAAAAATGGGGTTTGGGCGGGGGCCCGCCTAGCCCGCGGGCCACTGGCGGGGCGGTCCGGGCCTGTCAAACCCAGGCCCGTTTAGGAGCGGGCTTTTTTAGCCCGCCCCGTTTAGGCCCGCGGCCCGCCCCGCCCCGCCAACCCGTATTGACAGCACTAGTTGAGACCACCCCCGTTAGCGGTCCCGTTCGTATTAATAGGCTTTCTTAGGAAAATTACAAGGAGAACATAATGATGAAACAAGATGTAGATCTCCTAACAAGACAAGAACATGTCCTCTTATACTAGC